GATTTGGATGGTTATCCTTCTGGAGTTTACACAAATGAAGTGAGAGCGAGATAATCTAAATTCATCTACATGAATATTTGAATTTACTGCAGCTGCTTTTTAGACTTTTAGGGTTTTGTATTTAAATATTTGAAGCCACAGACATACAGAGAAACATGGAGGCTCAAGAAGAAATGAGCTATTTAGGAACTGAAACCTGAGACATGCAAAGATAACCGATGGCAGTGGTAAGAGGACACACATCTGCTGGCATGTCATGTCCAAGAAGCGGTGCCAGTCAGGTCGCCTCGTGTCTCTGTTGTCTTGTGATTAACCTTCCTCTCGTTTCAGGCAACGTGTTCCTTCCCCCTGTGTGCCGGTCCCATTGTCTGTCCTGCCCCTGATAGTGTCCCTCTGTGTCCTCACCCTGTGTGTGTATATTGTCTGCGTCTCCCTTTGTCCTGGGCCAGTTGGTCTTGTCCCATGTTACAGAGAACCCGCGTGTACCAACGTCCTTTGACAAGTTTTGCTACGTTCTTTGTACCTTGTTCAGGCTCGCTTTCTGTTGGTTCCTTTTTCAGCCTAGCGTTTATTTTCTAGATCCTTTTGGTTCTTAGCTTTAGTACAGGGTTTCTTCCTCTGCCGACAGTGACTTTCATTGTTGCCTTTTGTGAATGAACTTTGATTTTGAACCTCGTCTCAGGAGTCGTGCATTTGGGTTCAGGGCCGTTGTCCAGTCGTGACAATTAACAACATTTTTTTTTATTTATTAGTTTGTCATAGCTTAGATTAGTTAATAATATAAAGCATAATGCATGTTATATTATATATATATATATATATATATATATATATATATATATATATATATATATATATATATATATATATATACGTAATGTTATATTTAGAATGTGCATCCTTTTAATGAAATAATAAGCACTGTCTTCATTATATCTGTGGTTCAGGACAAGTGACACTGAGACGTCTGAATGTTCCCAGTGGTCGAGGTGAATAGAGGAAGTAGTTTTTGAACAGCTCTCTCATCATTGTCTCTCACTGTGGGTCTCTAGCACAGTAATACACTGCGCTGTCCTCAGTCTTCAGACTGTTCATCTGTAGATACAGTTTACTGCTGGAGTCATCTCTGGAGATGGTGAATCTACCCTTGACTGATGGGGAGTAATAGATAGGAGAACTAGATGTGCTGATGTAAGCGATCCACTCCAGTCCTTTTCCAGGAGCCTGTCTGATCCAGTTCATACGGTAGCTGCTGAATGTGAATCCAGATGTTGTAAAAGTCAACCTGTGAGATTCTTCAGGCCTTTTAATCACTGCTTCAGATTGTGTCAGAGTCTGACCATCAACACCTGTTAAGAGAAGAAGATATGCATGTCATGTGTTACGTTAACAGCAAGTGGAAACGTGTGAAATCAAGATCAGAGAAATTCTTCACCTGCGCAGAAGACAGTTAAAAGCAGCAGTCCTGTCCTAAAGTCCGTCATGGTTAACTGTGTGTCCACTGTCCTCTGTCCTCCTCTCTGCAGCCACATAAGTAGAGGAGAAAGACATCTGCGTTTTGCATTGACTCCTCCTCTCTGATTGAACAGTGTCCTCTGTCCTTGTTTTACTGTTAGTCACTTGATAACATTTGAATATGTTTCACACTGTGAGGATTCTGTCTAATGTAACATGAGATAGTGTAGAAAATATGAAGACTTTTATACAAAGCTATCACTTTAATTGGAGAAAAAAAATCACTCTACAGTGAAGTCCAATCACTGAGTTGGTTTACAACTAAGAGAGTAACAATGTAATAAGATATTATCAGGATCGTCGGGATCCGAACCTGTGTCTCCGTGTAGCAGGCGGGTTGCCTACCACTGCACTACGAGTGATAATGACTCAGATGCAGAGACAGAGAGAGACGAGTTGTTGGTAGGGAATAAAAAAAGGTTTCTTTACTTGAATAAAGCAGAGGATTGCAGAAGGTTTGACAGCAACTCAAAAATACTTCCGGACAACTAAAAACAAAGTCTGGGAAATTAACAAGGTAACTAAGGGTGTCCAAAAGAGAGGCAACAAAAAGATCTCAAGAACCAAAAAAGGATTAACAGAGGTAAAGGTGTCAAGGTGTCAACTTCCAAGACTCAGCAAACAAAAGGACGCTCAGGTGGCTTTTAAAGGCTAGCAAATAATGCACAGGTTAACACCATGAAAAAAAAAGACCTGTAATGAAAACAATCAAGACAGGACACATGTGACAGGAATAACTGGAACACTGAGGACCCCTCATGGTCCTTCAGGCTACTGCAGTCCAAAGACCCTGACAGATATTGTTTCTCTCTCAGAGCCCAGGGAGTAAATGTTTGTCTCATCGTATCATCCTGTATTGAATCATCTTTTACCACAATGTCTCATAAGAAAAAGACTAAACAGCAGCTCCCTCACTCTTCCAGCTGTTTCTATTCACATCTATAGTGAACTGAAATGTTTAATCCAATAAAGCTGCCATCACTTATTATCCAGCAATAAGCGATGTTCTTATTTTGTGTTATACGGTGACCTTACTTAGATGTCAAATATGAGTTATATTAAAGTGGCTGAGATGTGTTCAAATAATGTTCCTTTTTTCCAGACATATCATCTAAACACAGTGACATACTTTCAAGTTCAATTTGGGATTTTGTTATGATAGGAATAGAATTTTATGCATTGGTTTCGAAAATATGCTAAGTGTTACGTCCCCAGAAATCTGGGTTCGTATAATGATTCCAATTCGGGTATTACTTGTAGTTGCTTGTGTGTGTGTGTGTGTGTGTGTGTGTGTGTGTGTTTTTTCCAGATGGGATTGGGACCCGGAGCTCCACCCCCCTCGTCAGTGGTTGCTGCTGGCTGGGCTCTTTAAAAAGCCCAGTTCTGGACCAGTTCGCGCGCTGCATGCTCGCTGCATATTGCCATATGTTGCCTTTGGTTTGTACCCTGTGTGATTAGATTTTCAGATGTGATTAGATTTAAATAACTTGTGTTCCTTTTGGAACGTGTAGCAGGAGGAGGGAGAAATTGTTTGTTAGGGTCATTTTACTAATTATTTGTTTCCTCTTTGGTTCACAGGGAGTGGGGAGTAGATTTAGAGCTACCCCGGGGTATACATCACCCGTAGGTTTACTTCTCTGTCTAGAAACACCAGTTTAGACCTGAGCGGACCACCACCTGTAAGTTTGGTCAGGGCGCCTTGACCGTGTGCCAGGTAGAGATTGTGTTTTCAATTGGGGGTTAGTACAGGTTAGGGGTGGGGACCTTTTTGTTTATTTCTTTGTTTTGGTCTGGCCAGCCCTCCCCTTTTCCCAGAAAGTTATTGTTTATGTGTATTTATTTTGTTAGATAAAAGCGTTATACTGTATTTGGTGTTTGTCCTTTTCTCGCACCGCGACTCCATACCCCTTTTGCTCGCAAAACTCAAATTTTGAAGAAAAATTATTTTCATTGCTTGTAAAATTCAATATAAGGCAATTAATAAACGTGTTATGAACGTTTTTTAATATATAGAATAGCATATTAGTAATTGTAACGTGTAGGTATTTAAACTGATGTATCAAGGAGCTGGTGGTGAAATCATTGGTGGTCTGAGGACTCCTCCTCTGGTGGCTTTGTGTTACAAGTGTTCAGGCACCGAGAGGTTTTTGTTCAGCTGTACTGATGGTTTGTGTTACTGTGGGTTTCTAGCACAGTAATACACAGCCGTGTCTCCAGGCTGCACATTCTGTCCGTTTAGAGTCACTGTTTTACTGGAAGCATCTAAGTCGATACTAAACTTGCTCTTTAATGAATCTTTGTAGTATGACGCTCCAGTATGTTTCATTCCAATCCATTCCAGTCCTTTCCCTGCAGGCTGTCTGATCCATGCTGTGTAGTAGCCAAGAGCATAAGAAACCTGACAGGTGATGGTCAGACGTTGACCGGGCTGCACAGTCACAGAGGCCGGCTGCGTCAACTGCTCACACTTCACACCTGTGGAGGCAAACATGAAATATTGTATCAATGTAATAACAGTGAGCAGTCAGTGTGCTGTGATGTCCATGTCTCTGCCTCAGTGACACTCACAGTATCCAGCGGCCAGCAGCAGCAGTAGAGCTACAGAGAACATGTTGGTGTGGAGGTTGATCTGATGGGAGCTTCTCCTCTTCTGCTGCGACTGACAGCGTGATATCAAGTCTTTAAAGGAGACTGTGAGGAAGTTTACTTTGCATATAGAAGGAGGCTATAAAAGAGGGATGAAGTGTTCTGTCACAGCAGACCAAAGCCTGGAATAGTGTCACACACACGTGACAAGAGAAAGAAGATGTATTTATTATTTTATGCAATAACTTAAAGGGAACTCTCTTATTCCTACAAAAGTAGTCATGCCAAAGTAACAGATCTGTATTTACACTCAACATATTATTAAATATTTGGATAAACAAAATATGAAGTTTCATTGAGACTTTGATTTACTGAGTGTGCTTATGTTTAATTTCAGAATATGCAAAAATAAAGCAAGATTTAGACTTCGTTGATGTGTCAAGTATTTAATATGCTCCTATAGTTTGTGTTATTGTGGGTCTCTTGCACAGTGATGGACAGCAGTGTCTTCAGACTGCACGTTCTGTCCTTTTAGAGTCACTGTTTTTTAACTAAATATACTTGAAGCAGAATTGTTCACTTGTAGAATACCAGAGAGACTCCAGACATCCAGTTGCAAACAGCAGAAGCACCAGAGATACAGACAACATGATTTATATTGAAACATTAAAATGTGTAGGAAAATTGGTGGCAAAAAAAGAAGAGTGTTTACTGAAGGGATTTATGGATGGATGGAATGCTCATTATATGTTCCTGTCCTGTTTTGAATGTAATTTGTAATGTAATGTAATGTAATTAAAAGCAATTATTACAACATAGTATTGATAAGAGTAGCTCAACAGTATTACAAACGTAAAAATACTTATCCCAACCAGAGAGCCACTTGGAAACTGATGATCATATCTTTTACAGTTTATGGCATCAGTAATACAGAATTTATTCATGCTTTTACAGTTAAAAAACACTTTATATAACTGTGAGTGATTTGACATCATGAAGATAATACATATTTAGCCATGGCTTTTAAATACAATAAAGGGGATAAATATTAAAGTACTTTTGCAGTTTGTGAGAAAATCCAAATGTCCCCAAGTTGCTGTTTGTTGTGTGTGGATGTTTTTGTTCAGCTGCTCCGCTGTCTTCAGTCACTGTGTCTCGAGCACAGAAGTAAACAGCTGAGTCTTCTGCTGTCAGGCTCGTGACCTCGAGGTACTGAGTGCTCTTGGACACATCTTCAGTCATGATGAAACGGCTTTGGAAGGAGCTGCTGAAGGTAGCAGAGTTGCTGCCTGTGTTCATCCTCCCAATCCACTCCAGAGCATTTCCTGGCCTCTGTCGTATCCAGCTAATATAGAAGCTTGTCATTGTATAACCTGACGTGATACACGACATCTTCACTTTCTCTCCAGGTTTCTTCACCTCGGAGGGAGACTGTTCCAGTTTGATTTCACTCCAAACTCCTGTAAGAAAATACATTGTAATCAGCACACCTCACAGGTGAGATAAGTGAGTGTCTTCACTGTGTTAAAGCAGAAATTGTTCTTACCATTAATAGTAACTATGAAGAACAGACTCCAGGAAATCATATTTTGCATTATGTTACTAACACTTCATCCACTGCTTTCTGCTCTGAATGTTTTCAAGATATATTAGAAGCCCAGTTGCTCCGTCATCAATGACATGAGAGCTGCATACGGCATTATTTTAAGGAAGGAACAATTTGCATGCACCTCCCTCAACAGGTTTCAAAAGACAAAATGGAAAGCAGGTGAACTCAAATAAATACACAACAGCCAAAGCAGAGTGAAGTAAAAGATCTTAATTCCTGACAACTATTCATAATGTAAATATATTTGTGTTACAGGAAAAGCAAAACCCAATTTTTATAATGTATTTATTTAAATGTGTTTGACAGTGTGTGGGTGAGTCACACGGTTCCTGGTACTTGTGCAGGTCTGTTGGTGGTTTGTATCTCTGAGGGATAACGCACACAGCAACACACAGCTGTGTCCTCAGTTTGATCATTCTGTCCTTTTAAAGTCACTGTTGGATGCAGAAGTGTCTCTGCTGGAGATTAACTTATTCTTCAGAGCATCATTTTGACAGAGGCCAATGTTTATATAGCACAGGTCAGACATTTAAAACATAAAAAGAGCAAAACAAATAATTGACTCCAAATGATTGTATTTTTATTTTGTGAGATACATACTAAAGTTCAGGTTATTTATCATCTGTGTGTTTCAGAGATAAATAATGAATACAATAGGTTCCTCTACGACAAGTCGAAGCAAGGATCCCTAATAATAACACTCAGGTCTTAGTGTAGAACTCAAAATCTGAAGAAAAATTATTTTCATTGCTTGTAAAATTCAATCTAAGGCAATTAATAAACGTGTTATGAACGTTTTTTACTATATACACTAACGTGTAGGTATTTAAACTGATGTAACAGTGAGCTGGTGGTGAAATCATTGGTGGTCTGAGGACTCCTCCTCTGGTGGCTTTGTGTTACAAGTGTTCAGGCACTGAGAGGTTTTTGTTCAGCTGTACTGATGGTTTGTGTTACTGTGGGTCTCTTGCACAGTAATACACAGCCGTGTCTCCAGGCTGCACATTCTGTCCGTTTAGAGTCACTGTTTTACTGGAAGCATCTAATTCGATACTAAACTTGCTCTTCAGTGAATCTTTGTAGTCTGAATCTCCAGTACTTTTCCATCCAATCCATTCCAGTCCTTTCCCTGCAGGCTGTCTGATCCATGCTGTCCAGTAGCTGCTCATACTATAAGAAACCTGACAGGTGATGGTCAGACGTTGACCGGGCTGCACAGTCACAGAGGCCGGCTGCGTCAACTGCTCACATTTGAAGCCTGTTAAAAAAAGATTTTTCTTTAATATCAAGTTATACAAGAAGAACGAATGACTTTGATGAATCAAGAGGAACTTACATCCAGCTGCCAACAGCAGCAGCAGAGCTATTGAGAACATGGTGATGTTGAAACTGTCGAGCTGTGAACTCAACAGACTGATGGGATGTTTTTATAGCTGACCAACAAGGAAGCTCCCTGAGTTTGCATAGGATCACACATATGAAACTTCAACGTTGGTCCAACTGGAGCCAGTTGGACAGTCTTTCCATCTGTTCATTATATCTGCACAGTGAAAACGTGCTTTGAACTCGCCTCTGAGCACAAATAAAAACCATTTAGCTGCATTTACAGAACTTACACAGAAGTCAACTAAGAAACTCTCAATTATTCTATAATCGCAAACAATTATAAGTTGTTGCTTTTTTTCAAATTATCAACCAAAATTCAAGTATGATATCAACTTTTTTTGTGCCGGCGCCTTTCACCATTCATGATTGACTCTAAAGTACACGAGTAGAGATTATTTCATTTTTTATTAATTAATTTGCGTTAGCAAGGGCACATAAATAGCATGATTGTAACGGTTCTGGGGCGGCGGAGTGACTCGAGAACAGAGAGAAACCTGAGAGACGAGGGAAGGTAGTGGACAGGTGAACGTAGGTGTAGTGAATAAGGAATCAGGAGGAACACGAGGACAGGAACGGAAAAGACAGGAGGGGTTAGTGACAAAATTAACAGGAAACACACATAAGATTAACTCCCAAAAACACTTTCTTTATATTCCACATAATATGAAGTAGTTATTGTGTCTCAGTTTGTAGAAAGTCAAAGTATTTCTTAAAGTTCATTAACTTTTAATCAATGTAGCCGGTAACGTAAGCTGCTCGCACTCGCTGTGTCAACTTTTCCCATTTCACCCATTTTTTTATACCAGTTCCAATATTGCAGTTTCAAAAGTGCTAGAGAAAGATTTGAATGGTTATAGTTGTGGAGTTTACACAAATGAAGTGAGAGCGTGACAATATATATTCCTCTACATGAATATTTTAATATACTGCAGCTGCTTTTTTGACTTCTACGGTTTCGGTATTTAAATCTCACCAATTTGAAGCCACAGACATACAGAGAAACATGGAGCCTCAAGAAGAAATGAGCTATTTAGGAAGTGAAACCTGAGACATGCAAAGATAACCGATGGCCGTGGTAAGAGGACACACATCTGCTGGCATGTCATGTCCAAGAAGCGGTGCCAGTCAGGTCGTCTCGTGTCTCTGTTGTCTTGTGATTAACCTTCCTCTCGTTTCAGGCAACGTGCTCCTTCCCCCTGTGTGCCGGTCCCATTGTCTGTCCTGCCCCTGATAGTGTCCCTCTGTGTCCTCACCCTGTGTGTGAATATTGTCTGCGTCTCCCTTTGTCCTGGGCCAGTTGGTCTTGTCCCATGTTACAGAGAACCTGCGTGTACCAACGTCCTTTGACAAGTTTTGCTACGTTCTTTGTACCTTGTTCAGGCTCGCTTTCTGTTGGTTCCTTTTTCAGCCTAGCGTTTATTTTCTAGATCCTTTTGGTTCTTAGCTTTAGTACAGGGTTTCTTCCTCGGCCGACAGTGACTTTCATTTGTTGCCTTTTGTGAATAAACCTTGATTTTGAACCTCGTCTCAGGAGTCGTGCATTTGGGTTCAGGGCCGTTGTCCAGTCGTGACAATTAACAACATATTTTTTATTTTATTAGTTTGTCATAGTGTAGATTAGTTAATAATATAATGGGGAATGAATGTTATATATTATATATATATGTATTGTTATATTTAGAATGTGCATCCTTTTAATAAAATAATAAGCACTATCTTCATTATATCTGTGGTTCAGGACAAGTGACACTGAGACGTCTGAATGTTCCCAGTGGTCGAGGTGAATAGAGGAAGTAGTTTTTGAACAGCTCTCTCATCATTGTCTCTCACTGTGGGTCTCTAGCACAGTAATACACTGCGCTGTCCTCAGTCTTCAGACTGTTCATCTGTAGATACAGTTTACTGCTGGAGTCATCTCTGGAGATGGTGAATCTACCCTTGACTGATGGGGAGTAATAGATAGGAGTACTAGATGTGTGAATGAAAGCGATCCACTCCAGTCCTTTTCCAGGAGCCTGTCTGATCCAGTTCATCGGGTAGCTGCTGAATGTGAATCCAGATGTTGTACAAGTCAACCTGTGTGATTCTTCAGGCCTTTTAATCACTGCTTCAGATTGTGTCAGAGTCTGACCATCAACACCTGTCAAGAGAAGAAGATATGCATGTCATGTGTTACGTTGACAGCAAGTGGAAACGTGTGAAATCAAGATCAGAGAAATTCTTCACCTGCGCAGAAGACAGTTAAAAGCAGCAGTCCTGTCCTAAAGTCCGTCATGGTTAACTGTGTGTCCACTGTCCTCTGTCCTCCTCTCTGCAGCCACATAAGTAGAGGAGAAAGACATCTGAGTTTTGCATTGACTCCTCCTCTCTGATTGAACTTTGTCCTCTGTCATTGTTTTACTCTTAGTCACTTTATAACATTTGAATATGTTTCACACTGAGAGGATTCTGTCTAATGTAACACAAGATAATCTAGGAAATATGAAGACTATTATACAAAGCTATCTTAAGCAAAGCTTTCACTTTAATTGGATACAAAATCACGCTATAGTGAAGTCCTCTCACTGAGGTGGTTTACAACTATGAGAGTAAAAATGTAATAACGAGGATATTGTTTTCCTCTGATAATCAAAAACTTTTTTCCCACTGCTTATTTAGGGAGTCACTGTCTCATCCTGGTTGAGCAGTGAAAGGTCAGAGGGCAAAAGCTGAAGGTGCCAACCAGGCAGACACAGTTCTGATAAGGATGAGAGTGAGAGACACACCAATCACCTTACAACCCTCACGCTTTGTTCGTTATGTATATATTAATGTTAGGAAACCACACATTGTGTGATTGGATCTTGACCCGCTCATCCTCAACCCCAGTTTAGGGCCAAAGAACTATTTTCTTCGCTATCTAACAATGAAAAAAAAAATACCTAATTTAATTGTCAAATAATGAATGAGTTACATTAAAGTGGCTCAGATTTGTTCATGTAGTTTTGTTCAGACCTGTAATATAAAGACACTGACAGACTTTTCTAAGTTAAGAATTTGTTTTGTGATAGAAATAGAATTTCTATTTTGAGGGAAACTTTGCAAGTTTTGGTTCTTTGCTTCAAACTCAGTATCTAAAGAAAACTCAGTAAAAAATAAATTATTTGTATTGCTTGTATATTGAAATTATGCCAATTAATTAATGAACATGCTATTAACTTTTTATTCAGGAAATATATAGAACAGCATATTAGTCATTGTAACTTGTAACTTGAGGTAAATAATAAATACAATAGGTTCCTCTAAGACAAGTCGAAGCAAGGACCCTAATAATAAAACTCAGATCTTAGTGTAGAACTTAAAATCTGAAGAAAAAATGATTTTCCTTGCTTGTAAAATTATGAATTTTCTTAAATATATAGAATAGCATATTAGTATTTGTAACATGTAGGTATTTAAAGTGATGTAACAGTGAGCTGGTGGTGAAATCATTGGTGGTCTGAGGACTCCTCCTCTGGTGGCTTTGTGTTACAAGTGTTCAGGCACTGAGAGGTTTTTGTTCAGCTGTACTGATGGTTTGTGTTACTGTGGGTTTCTAGCACAGTAATACACAGCCGTGTCTCCAGGCTGCACATTCTGTCCGTTTAGAGTCACTGTTTTACTGGAAGCATCTAAGTCGATACTAAACTTGCTCTTCAGTGAGTCTTTGTAGTATGACGCTCCAGTATGTTTCATTCCAATCCATTCCAGTCCTTTCCCTGCAGGCTGTCTGATCCATGCTGTGTAGTAGCTGTTAAGAGCATAAGAAACCTGACAGGTGATGGTCAGACGTTGACCGGGCTGCACAGTCACAGAGGCCGGCTGCGTCAACTGCTCACACTTCACACCTGTGGAGGCAAAAATGAAATATTGTATCAATGTAATAACAGTGAGCAGTCAGTGTGCTGTGATGTCCATGTCTCTGCCTCAGTGACACTCACAGTATCCAGCGGCCAGCAGCAGCAGTAGAGCTACAGAGAACATGTTGGTGTGGAGGTTGATCTGATGGGAGCTTCTCCTCTTCTGCTGCGACTGACAGCGTGATATCAAGTCTTTAAAGGAGACTGTGAGGAAGTTTACTTTGCATATAGAAGGAGGCTATAAAAGAGGGATGAACTGTTCTGTCACAGCAGACCAAAGCCTGGAATAGTGTCAAACACACGTGACACGAGAAAGAAGATGTATTTATTATTTTGAACAATGACTTAAAGGGAACTCTCTTATTCCTACAAAAGAAATTCTACCAACGCAGTCATGTCAAAGTAACAGATCTGTATTTACACTCATCAGAGACTATGATTTACTGAGTGTGCTTATGTTTAACTTCAGAAATAAAAACGTAAAAGCAATGTTTAGGCTTCTTTGATGTGTCAGGTATTTAATATGCTCCTATAGTTTGTAGTTTGTGTTATTGTGGGTCTCTTGCACGTTGATGGACAGCAGTGTCTTCAGGCTGCACGTTCTGTCCTTTTAGAGTCACTGTTTTTTAACTAAATATATTTGAAGCAGAATTGTTCACTTAGAGAATACCAGAGAGACTCCAGACAACCAGTTGCAAACAAAAGCAGCACCAGAGATACAGACATGATTTACGTTGAATATCGGTGGCTTATCCAGTGATGTGCGCCGCCTCTACGCCAATTACACCTGGTATTTGCTCCGCCCCTTCACAACCTTAAAGAAAAAGACAGTTTACTGAAGGGATATGTGGATGGATGGAATGCTCACTGCATGTTCCTCTAATTGAGCACTTTCAATAGTCATCTGACTTTTTATAGATGCACATGTATGAAATGTGCAGGTGATCAACATCTTCTATGCTCTCTCAACATCACCTGCACTGCTCTCAATAACACATTCCTCTCTCTACCTTCACACTCCTTCCTATAAGATCTTTCCTGTGAGGCCAACTTCTAATCCCCATCACCCGGGAACAGTATGTGTTCAAAAAGTTACTCCAAACTTACCTTCTAACACATGTTTAACGTTAACCCACAAAGTAGACATGTGCACACATTCACAGTGACCCTGTGTGTTTGTATTAATGGGAAAGAGAAGGTATACAAACAGTCTCTGTTAGTGCTTTGAACTGACTTCACCTCTGTCTCATAACATCTGGTCAGTGCAGTTTAGACCTCTCAGTATGTTCAAATTAAGACACGACTTCACATCAAGGACACAAATCCCCACTTCTGTATGTGGAGCTCTGTCTCCCTCTAGTGGTCAATCTGAGTAATACAACGATGCTGATCTTATGACATACTGTATATTTATACTGTATAAACTGTAGGAATAGAATAATAGAATAGAAGTACTTTATTGATCCACGAGGGGAAACTCAAGACCAAGGTAGCTCCTGACAATATACAAAAATAATATACACATGCAGTTAAACTATTTAAAAGGGTTTATCAGAAAGAAAGAAAAAATAAAGTTAAAACACACAGTTGGTGGGTTGTGTTATTGTATAGTTGTATGGCTCTGGGGATGAATGATTTATACAGTCTACCAGTCCTACATGGCAGCGAGCGCAGTATGTATATGCAGCTTGTTTATTTTACCATCTTTTTATGGAAATAATGTTTATATAATTGAATTTTCTGAGTTTAGATAATTGAATCTTCTGAGTTTGTACCCTATGGTTGAATGCACTTATTGTAAGTCGCTTTGGATAAAAGCGTCAGCTAAATGACATGTAATGTAATGTAATTATTCTTTTATAACGTATGGCAATGAAGCATCCAATGATGTAATCTGTAGATATACTGTATATATGCTCATTTTATAGGTAAGAGAATCTCAAACTCAGAATAAAAGACATACACTTGTCACTTTCACATACACTCAAACACAGTTATGTTCGCCAGTGCACTTTATTTTTAACCTTTTTATTTTTAATTGAGTATCCTTTTTTTATCCCCAGCTCTGAGCTTTCTATTTCATTTCAAAGTGTATAGTTGAATTGTAAATTGAACATGCTATTCTATTTGTCTTGTTGTCCAATTTCATATTGTCTTACTGTCCGATGTTTTGCATCAACCGCAATGTCAAATTCCTTTTATGTCTAACATATTTTGGCAATAAATGTTCCTGATTCCTGATTAAGGTTTCAAATCCTGTATATATGCAGGCTGTTTGTGTTATGTTTATATAATTGAATTACTCTTTTAGCACATATTGTAATAATGCATCAAATTATGTGATCAGAACAAATTTAATCAGAACCAAAAAAGTATTTATTTTATTCATGTATTCTCTTAAACAGATGCACTGCACTCATAACAAACATGTGTAACCCTAATCAAGAAACCTGTTACATAACATATAATAGTAATAGATGTGAATCACTTAAACTTTAAAACAAGAAAAACCAAAACATTATTATATAATGGGATCTGTCCAGGGATCACCATCATTTAGTCTAAAAGGAGAAAGCAAAGGGAATGTGTCAGCATATGATGTAATTTCTTATTCATATTTAAAATATATGTATATATGAGAGTGAAAATATGAAAATATAACAATATTTAAAATAATGTTTATTAGAAATGTGTTACTGAAAGATCACTCACTAAAATAACATTCCAGTACTGTTGTTTCTCACCTTAATCATGGTTGCAGAGACACCGTAGATAAAGGAGACGAGGAATAAAACGAGGAAAGTGAACGCAAAATACCAGCTTTCCACATCTGTGTCCTGGTTCACTTCAGCATGCATGATGTCGTCGAAGAAATCACAGTCGTTCAAGGAGTCTGTGAATGAATGGAAACGTGTAACATGTGTTAGTCTACTGGACTTTGTTCCAGTGGCAGGGGAGCTGCTAAGAGATATTAACTCATTCAACCATGTGTGAAACGGGTGGTTAACATATATGTGCAATCTGTAAAGTTCAAGAAAGACTTGTTGACAAACCAGCACCTGGTTTAGATACATCCAGGGACAGGCTGATGTTTGCATGTGTCACCCTGCAGGTGATGTTGGCGCCAGGTAACCAGATGACTCGGGACAGATTTAGGTGGCTTTGAATGTTGAACTTTCCATCTGGGCCTCTGTGGGGTTCACTAGTGCTGTAGTCCAACGGTCCCTTGGTGTCATCAAGAAACCAAGTGATGTTAATGGTTGCAGGGCTGAAGCCAAAGACCAGGCACACCAGCTCACCGGAGCCCTGGAGCAAGGTCGCTGAGGGTTTGCTGTGGGTCACTGTGGCTGGAGGAAACAGGGAGGAAAAGTTTTTGTCAATTTTGATTATCTTTATTTTAGCCGACGCAATCGATCAAATAAATCAGTATGGGCCCGTATTCTACACTGATCTCTGTCTACGATGAAATGAAGTACACCAGTAAACTGTCATTGACTTCATTCTAATCGACAGCTCACCAAAGACATCCTTTATAGTGCTTTTAAAAGGCGTTTCCGATGACTCGTGTCTGACGACACAAGAATACGTAGACTCCTTGTTGTTAGTTGTTGAGATGTTTAGTCTGCTGATCATCGAATACGTGCTGCTCCCGGTGTATTTCCATGTTGGACTGTTGGTGAAGTGAGTTGGAGGGACTCTCTGGTCCTCCTCCTCCCAGTACACTCGGATATCAGACGGGAAGAATCCAGAGACGTGGCAAATAATTGCAAGGGAGTCGGAGGTAGAAAGGTCATCCACAGTTGGTTGTGTTACCTTCACTGTTGGTGGATACAGCTCTTTAGAAGCACAACAAGAAGACAAAAGTAGATCAAGCTTCATATTTTAACCATTTCTAATCTGATCGTTTAATCACTGACAGCTTCCACAAACATCAATGTGATGATTCTGATGCATCTCGTCTACTTAAACTATTAAAACATCTCCACAGATTGAAAAATATCAATGAACAGATGCAAAGAAACAAATGAAGGTGTTTTGTGGATAACAAACCTCTGCTTTTGGTTATATGATCCTCGTGGCCCAGTTTGGAGCATCGGTGCTTTGCCTCACAAGACACTCGTTTAAATTCATTCCAATCCGCCGCTGACACATTGAGGAAGCTCTGCACAGTTTCTGTACCGTTGCTGTGACTCACTGGAGAATCCTCACGGCCATCGTGGAATGATTGTTCTCACCTACTTTCCAGGTCACAGAGAAATCATTGAGAGACGGACCGACCAGGAGACAGGTGATAGTCACCTGTCCCTTGTTCAGAAGCTCTGCTGGTGTTGGTCCCTGAACATATACGGCAACTATCTGAGATGACGCAGGAGTTACTGAAAAATAAAGAGACGTTGAAATGGCCGAAAAGGCGACACATATGAAGTATGTGAGGAAGAAGGTGTCATGCTTAATGGAAGATGAATTCATTTCTTCTCTGTCTATTAGTTTTCCTTTTACCTGAGCAGAGGCTGATGTTCTTTCTCACATTAGCGTTCAGAGACTTGTCAGATACTTCACACGTGAAGACCTTCCCTGTTCTCCACTCGGTTTGAGGGACGTGGAGATGACTGGTTACCGCCACACGTCCATCTTCACCCATGCTGACGTCATTAGTTGATGGAGATCTGTGCTCGGACTCTGAAGACCACTTTATTTGAGGGTTAAAGCCCCAAGCGAAGCACAGGAGTCTCTGTGGTCCTGAGTCTTCACCGGGGGCCAGAAGAAGTTCCATCGATGGCTCCACTAAATATGAGATCAATCAGTGCTTCGATTAATCAATGAATGGGTCTATTTCTGATCAACTAAGTGTGAAATATTGAATGAACTACCACTAAGGGAATGAAGAGCTTCTCCTCTCACCAAAGAAACTGCCTGTGGAGTTGGACACAAAGCTGTTGGAGAATCCTTGATTCACTTTGCAGGTGAAACTTGCGTCTTTCTTCAATTCACTTGAATGGACTGTGAAACTTCTACTGATTGAAAGGAGTCCTGAGGCTGCAGGAAGTTCAACAAACTGTTTGTCGGAGATGTCGACACCGTTGGCTTGAAAGGTGATGTAGAGGTCACGTGACGAGAGTCTTGTGACATCACACTCCAGCACGGCACCGTCTCCTTTCAGCAGATCTTTCAGAGATCTCCTGATCTCAATCGATGGATCTGTACCTGCAGGCTCTGGATGATACAGACAGAAAAGCCAGCAGGCTTCTTCATTTATGAACCATGCTGTCACATGACGTCTG